AATTTCACAAATAAGAGAAAATATTTTCTTGTAATTAATTCTACGAAAAAAACGTCTTATCTTATACAGGTTTTTATAAGGTACTTGAATTCTTAAGCAAAAGAATTATTTGAACACTTAGGATTTTGCTTTTATAGCAACTTCATTTCATATCAAACATTTTGATTTCTATATCAATCGACAGAGAAGAAAAGGTTGCATCGAGTAGCGTCGTTTCGTTCCTGAAAATGATTGAAAAAAAAGTCATATTAATTGCGAATTAAAATTAATACTTTATAAAAGGTCTCTCGATAACTTTGATTTTTAAGCTGTAAAATCAAATTAATAACATTTTTTAACGATATAATCTTATAGAGAATAAAATTTTGTACAAATTGATATGCTTGAGTGAGCGACATTTATTTTTTCTGAATATGATAAGACGCTATGTTTTTAAGTACGATTTACCATGAAGAAAGAAAAACAAAAAAAAACATTTTTGCGTTCTGTTACTGGTGCACATCACATAAGTGGAATATATATATAAGTCGACAGAACGAAAAAAAGTCTATTTGCTCTTTTCTCTACTGTAAATCGTACTTGAAAACATAGGGCCTTATCATATTTAAAACAAAACAATTATTGCTTACCCAAGCACATCATTTTGTACAAAATTTTATTCTCTATAAGATTTTATCGTTGAAAAAAAATTTTCAATTGGATTTTATACCTTAAAAAGCAAAATTACCGATGGACCTATATGAAATATTCCTTTTTTTTCCAATCACTTTCAGGAACTGAAGACGCTACTTGATGCAATCGTTTCTTCTCTATCGATTGATATATAAATCAAAATTTTTTGATGCGGATTGAAAAGCTACTATAAAAGTTAAATCCAAGTATTCAAATAATTCTTTTGCTTAGGAAATCAAGCACCTTATAAAAAACTTTACAGGACAAGACTTTTTTTTCGTAGAATAAATTTGAGACTTCGAGCTATCGAATGATATAATGAGAGTCAAGAAAATATTTTTTCTTGTTTGTGAAATATGTATTACAAGGTGTTCAAATAATCTTTTCACATATTATAACTTATATAAAATATATTTCAAATAAAAAAGGAAGAGCTATCTATATCTTAAAATGAAAGAAATAAAATAATGACATTCAAAACAAACACTTCTCTTTCTAACACTTGGAATAATTACTAAGAAAAATAGAAGAAACTAAACCGAGCCTATGTGAATCTTCTCTAATGTTTTGATACCTCTCCAATTAAAGAATTAGGTAAATCTTGATATTGTTTCGATAGATTTGTGATTTTATAGTGTATAGGAGATGAATCTTTGTATGCTGTCAATGAAATATACGTTTTTTTTTTGAATACATCTGCTATACGAAAATGATAACATTGTGTTTTCAATAATGCACACTTATAAAGCTAAAAAGAAATTAATTTTGATTTGATTGATGTTATACAGCAGGTAGACATTGATTTATACTATAACTAGAATTAAAGATCTATTTAATGCATAATACAAAGAAAAATTCATTGAAGGTGATAAGATAAGTTTTGCTTACATATTTCAGATGTTATATACGTACATATATGTCAGACTATATTCTCACAATCTTTATTATACTAATTTTTCATTGTACTGCTTAATTCATTTCTTGAAGTACTAGCATTTTTATGTAATACGTGAAAATAAAAATTAATAGTTTTATATACTTTTGATACGTGCAATCAATGACTTCATTCATTGTCAAATGATGAACGACGTTTACAACAATAAGTAAATATAAAGAATGACATGCAGGAAACTACTCTTTCGAAGTCTATCAATTAAAAAGAAACAAAAACAATTTCTCAAATTATTAATATTCATATTTTACCATGTGATAAATACAATTTCACAAAACATAAAATTAAACTATAGTTATTACTATGATACTTTCACAATCTACCATTACTTTGCATTTTTTTCTTTAAACAAATAATTACACACTCATGAAAAGATCTGGACACAACACAAATACAAATTGAAAGAAAAAAGATATCAATAAACATAACATATTTTCAATATGAGCGAATCGTATTTTTGTTGTACAATTGGCAAAAAAAAAATGAAAGTGTATTGAGCAGAATTTTAAGACGTGCATATTATTCAGCATCATTTACTTAGTATAAGGTGAAATTTTCCCAACTACCACATGCCAGGAAGCCGAGATATTTCTGGATCCATATATATTAAGATAGTTCCAATATTGTCAATGTTAACAGGTTTTCGTTTTATTTCTATCAAAACGCTTTTTGTGTACTCAAAAAGTGAGTACACTCTAGAATCGGTCAGTGTGTCCGTCCGTCCGGCCGGCCGGCCGNGTTCTACTACAGTATCACTATAACAATATACTACCTTTCAAACGAACGAGGGTCTAGCCCCTTGCCCCCATCGACATATCCGTCATCAATGATAGTCAGATTAAGGACTCTGGTGATCGACTCTCTATCGCTCGAAAAAGTAGAATGAACTAGCAAAACAAACTATAAAAAAGTTTTCATGTATTATTCTATCACCCATCAGGACACAAAAACACAGCAGGACAAAGCCGGACAGGACAAAACAGGACAGGACGTGGTTTTGATTTTTGTCCTGTCCTGCCGCTCACCAGGACAGAGCTGGCTAGCAGGACAGGACAAAAAATCTTGTCCTGTGCTCATCTCTGGTTTTGACCAAAATGAGAACGGGGTTTTTAATCTACCGTTAATAATAAATGGAAAATCAAATGACGATGAAACTAAGAAATAAAATTCGCCGATTAGACATGATAATAAATTTTGATTTACATGTAATATTGTGCGGTAATAGTTGAGAATTTCATGCCGTCGATTTGGATGAAATCTTTCGAATATTCGATCATCCACTAAATCAATGATTTCTTGTGTACCATTCAATTGTTGAAGCGTCGATGAAAATTTTGTTATATCTTCGAACAGTAGCAAAAGCATATTGCTAATTAATTCATACGTTTTTTTATAATTCTTATTTTTTTATAAAGCAAACATTAGCAATGTTCGATGTTGATAATCGATCAGGTGATCATATATATTGGTCTGTACATTTGATACCATAATTATTTTTACAAATAAAGTCAAAAAAAAAGCGAACTAAATTTATACTCTCCATTTTCAGTAATGCCTTCGATAAGAACAGTATTTTGATTACAAATCCAATTGGAATTATTTTGTATACTTCAGTCCATGTTTGATAGTATAGTTGAAACTTTGGCGATTGCTTAAAAATATGAACTTATTGAAAGATTCCACGTAATCATGATTGATTGATATCATATAAACGATACATGCAGTCTTTGATTAAAGGAATACATTTTTTGAATATAGCTAAATTAAAATTAATAAAAATGATTTGTTTCTGGAAACAGTTTATCAAATAAAATTATAAATGAAAGTTGCAAATGATTTGACTTTCTTTTACGTGTATTCTGGTACGATAAACAACACAAATTCACAAGATTTCAAACAATGCACAGAATTACAATATCCACAAGAAAAGAACTCGAACTAATATGACCACTTATAGCTGCTTTTAGTGAAAAAAGCATGGCTACAAATCTTTATACAATATCAATCATGCTGTGAAGCGCCGAAACAAGTGGCAATTACCTTTTTCTTGCCGTTTATTAACATTTCTCCTGTAGAATGAACGAACATGATCGTGTAAACGACATTGTAATCAATTTTATTTTTTCCTGAGTGTGACTATAGTATATGACTGAAGTGAAAGTCTACATCCACATTCATAGATCAGCACGCACCGAGATATTCATACTTGCCCACAGCTACAACCTCGTCTAATTCTAAATATTTCATAAATGCCATTCTTTGTATTCTACTATAAATCGAGCGTCGAAAATAACTAAGTTTGTTCTTGAGAAAAATGATCTGTTTTCATTTATTTTTTCACTTGTCAGGTCTGGCTGAGTACTTTGTATTTTTCGGAATAAGGACATATTGCATTTCATTCATGTAAGTATTTAACAGATAAATCAATGTCATGAAGCGCATTGAAGAGGCGAACACTTTATAATCACAAAGTCAATAGTAATTTCGAATATAAATATTTTGCACATGTGGTTCTCGTCAGTCCTATCCATTTAGCTTCATTCTTCGATTCGGCAAACAGTAGATTGCATTTTACAACAGCTAATAACATCTGTATCACTACAAATTCTGCGATCGATTTTCCCATATATTTTCCTTATGAAGCTGATCCTTTGTACAACGGTCTTTTCATTACTTGCATTCATCTCGGTGGTTACGGCGCATGCTAGAATAAAATATCCAAGACCGTTGGCAGCTCCTACTGATGGAGCAGGTGGAAACTATTACAATGAGCCTCTCAAAGCCGATGGAAGAGATTTTCCATGCAAGGGTCTACATAAGAATCCTAGCGTTAACAAGGCTCCTACAGCGACGTGGAAAGCGGGTCAGAAAACATATTTCGAGTTAGTTTTTATTGCGATATGATTGATGTCTACTTTTTAAACAAAGAGAATAGTTTTAATGAACGATTTATTTTAAGATTCTTGGCCACAACGCACCCAGTGGAGAAGGATCCCTTGCAGCTCACAGCGGAGGAAGCTGTCAAGCTTCGATTTCGTTTGATGGAAGTGAAACATGGAAAGTTCTGCACAGTTATCAGGGTGGATGCCCAAGAGGCGTCCGATTCAATTCTAACATGGCAGGCAACAACCAAACTTTTCCATTTCACGTGCCTGAGAATACTAGAGCTGGAAACGCTTTGTTTTCCTGGTAATTTTTCTAATCCCTTTCTATTGTTGTGTTTATATCACAACGACTAAATAAATACGTATTTATATAGGACATGGATCGCCGTAACCGGTAACCGCAATGAGATGTTTCAAAGTATGTGAGAAAAACAGTCTACTGTTCTTATATATTCATGTCTGCTGACTACTTTTTAGATTGCGCCTCGGTCATGATTGAAGGCACTGGAACTAGTACGCTCGACAACTTTCCGGACATGTTCGTCGGAGACATGACGGTTGCAGGACATATTGGACCCGGTGAATGTCGTAGCACTTCTCGAGTTGCTCTCGAGTATCCAAATCCAGGAGAGGCTATTACAATAACCGAAGTGCAAGGGATACCGTTTAAGAAACCAACAGGTGGCAAGTGTTATTCGAAAGCTACCATCAATACTTCCACCATGGCAGCTTCATCTACTACTACTACTACTACTACTACTACTGAAACTTCCACACTTTCCATCTCATCTACTGTATCTACCACGGGAAATCCGGATGGTGATTCTAAATGTGACAAACCACTTCCTGCAGTTTTGAACTTAGTCGTCAATGATGCCACGTATCCTTGCACTTGTGTATGCGAGAAAAAAACATCCTAGTGCGAACCTTATTTTTTAATTATATCATCGCTACTCAGGCACACTATCGCGAGCTTCATGAATATTTGACTATAGCGAAAGTGCTTCGAGATTTTTCTTATTATCTTATTAATAAACCAATAATATTCAATCTCTGTTTTCAGATATATATATATTCTCACGAAACAAGTTGTGAATCTCTAGAATACTCAGAAACACCACATGAAGTCTTATAAGAGTCTCAAGAATGTTAATACTTTCTGACAGCTGCCAAATCCTTTTATTCTAAAACAAAAACTTTGTAGATGTGGCAAAATATTTTGTAAAACTTCACTTATATCTCCGGATGATTTTAACCAATTTCAACAATTCACACAATAAAAAGAGTAGGACAATTACCAAGAAGTTCGGCAACTCAATCAATACGAGAATTTTACGAATTTCTTCATTCAAAAAACTTTAAAAATACAAATACTAATTAGTTTCTTATTGTCAATAAATACTCGAACCCCGAAGCTACGATAAACTATAGTATTATTGTAATTCTTCCGAATAACGAAATATTTTTTAAAAGTGAAGTGAAAGAAACGAAAAATGAATCATAACCTTCTGATAGCGGTTGACTCCAGTTTCTTTCCCAAACTTTCATGACCTGTAGTTTTTTTAGATACAAGCAAATCAATACTATTATTGCTTATGTGTGCACAAATCTTCGAACACGATGATGGAAATACTCACTCTCTGTCGGTAGAGCATGCCATTAAAACTTCAAAATATTCCATGTCACATCTATATGACTTTCAAGTAAAAAAAAGGCCTTTGAAAGAGTGATGTCAATGGCTTCAACATCGTTTGTATACAACACTGCTATTGCCTAAATTATTAGCTCGTGTTCCATATAAATATGATTTGTCCAAAAAAAATTCATCATCATCATCATTAAGAAAAACAAATGTTGTCTTACGGAGAACAAACAAAGGATATGTTTGCTTCGCGTACTAAATGTATTTTTCCGTTCATAATGTCTCTTTATAAAAATCATTACTTAAGTGGATATAAAAATGGTAGATACAAAGAGATGCATATAAGACGGGTGGCGCATAAAGAATTACCCTGCTTGCATTTTCGAAATTTCTCCTCTATTATCCCCTTGATTAAAGCCCATACTCTAAATAGTGGCAATGAATTCAACATCATTACAACCTATGTGGAATTAACTTCCGTGCTGTAAAGCTACAAAAATTTCCATAGAATGCAATGTCATCTTCCTCAACTAGGAGATCCGTCGAAACAATTATTTTTTCTGAGAAACAAGCCTCAAATAGTCACCATCATATAATGAATGAATCATTCTCATAGTGTCTAAGGTGTCGATGTGAACGAAAAGAAGACCCACACCCACACCCCTTTTTATATAAGCCTATTGATCTGTAGATTAGTCTCCTATAAAACAGTACTGAAAGCTACTGATCGCATCTGCTCATAAAAAAGTGCTTCAGGTGAATCTTCCAGTTGTTGTTTCAATCACCGACAGTAATCGTATAGATAATCAAGACATATCTTTTCTCGCGAGAGTGAGTGAGGGTGTCCACATAAGACTATGAGAACAACGACCAATTTCAACGAGCACTATATTGTACTTCCAAATTATTGCTAAATCTTTCGTCATGCATTCTTGCTATAACATTCGGATCTTGAACAGATTGAGGAAAATAACCAAGCATATATTTATTTCAAAAGGGTTTTTTATTAGATTGTCTACTTTACATACATTTCCAGATCAAGTACTTTTTTAAGTAGAATTTTTTTCGACCTGAATTGAATTTTATAATGAGCCATTCAATCTCTAATTGATGTAAAATTGAAATACTTAATTTCCTTCTATATGATAGCATCTTCTACTATCATCATCGTATGTAGTTCTGATTTGTGTTTCGTTTTATTCTATGCTTTTTCTTTTCTTTAGATTTTTATTTATCACAAAAAAATGAGTATAACAGAATGGTTTTGTAGAAAAACTGAATTCAGAACATTGATTTTTATATATGAATATTTTCTTTTCGAGTACGATCACATTTCACTATGAATAATTATATGCCACATCGGTATTTTTGTTTTTATTCCATATATTATTCATCTACAATCATGTGAACACTATATTTTTTAATGAAAATATTCGGCCGATGTCTGATGTCGACTGCATGGAGAAGTCCACAGATCCACTCAATGAGATCAACTGACTATCGAATGTTTCGTAACTCGTTATATTATTGGTTGCGAGCATAGAAAAACAAAATCCATTTCTCTNAAGCACTTTCTGGGAGCTCTAAAAACCAGTTTTTGACCTAAAGACCTATGAATATCCGATTTAGATTTGTCGAAAATAGGCTCGTTCGATGCAGAATTTTTTTCTCTATCAGAATCTATAAGAACTTGATAATTATAGAAAGTATATTTATGAAAATTACTTCGTAGATATATACATGTGTGAAGGGTTCCTAAAAAATAATATGGATCCCCATACTTTATGTGTTCAAAAAGATTGTAATTGTTACCCCAGACCGTTTTCGACTATACCCCGTCTAACTAGAATATCAAAATCGTAAAAAAAAAATTTTTCCATAAAGTGGTAGAAACCCGGCGGATTCACCCATTTCTTTTCATTGTTGGTCAATCTAAACCAATTAGTTGAACAATTTAATATGAGAAAAAAATGAATTGATAAGAAATTTGATAATGTTCTTAATTAGCAAAGACAATACATTCTAACAACTAGATTAATTCCTATTCAAGTTAAAGCATTTCATATTCAACGGTAATTGATTTCCAAGTTATATTTTTCTATAAAGAAGCAAATAAAAAATAAATGAAAATATAATCACTAAATATGTTTGAAAAAAAATCATAAATTAAATTGCTTTTTGTTTATGTTAAACTTGGGGTACACCAATAAAGAAAAATGGTTGAGAACTTTTGACCAATAATGTATAACATACATCACATACACGAGATGGTCGATTATTTGGACCAGTATAAACAATTTTGTTAATACATTCTTTACATAAAACTTTACCTTAAGAGAAAACAAAAGAATATATACATTCAATTATGTTGTATTAATCAAAACTTACCACAATGACCTACAAAAAAAAAAAAAACAAAGATAAAAAAAATGCAAAATGGATAGTTATACTTTCAAAAGTAAATAATAACTTACGACAATGATGTTTTCTCCAAGTAACTGAAAATTGTGCATGACATCGTTGACATTCAGAAAAATCTTCTTCCGGTTTCCAACGTAATTCATTTTCGGAATTTCGAATTTCTTCTAATTGAACCTTGAAAGAAAAATTTTAAAATAAAAGAATTTTATCTTAAACTTACTAACATACTTGAAGTGCTTGAGAAAGTTTAACAAAATCATGTTGAACAGATTCACTATTTTCAAAATCAATTTTTAACTTTTGTATTTGAACACGTAAACCAGCATTGTCTTCATTAAGTTTTTCCTAGAAAAAAATAAATAAAAAAATTTTAAACTCTTTTAATCCACTCAAAATTCTGCTATTTTTGTTGACCTTTTCAGAACTAATTTGTTCAATTTTTTCTTTAACTTGATTCGTTAATGAATGAACTACTGTTTTTGCTTTTATTAATTCATTCATACATTCTTCTAATTGTCTCTCAAGATTTTTTTTTACACTTGATACATGTTCATATTCACTTTGAACACTTTGTAGAATAACTATTTGATGAAAAAAAAAAAAAACATCATGAAAATTATAAATTATGACAATAAATATTTTGCTTTTACCAATTTCATCTTTAGCTGCAGTTAAATCTCTATTAAATAATTGTTCAATTTGTTCTCGTTCACGTATATCAGTATTATGACTATGCTGTAATTGTTCAATATCATGTCTAAGTTTATCTCGAATTTTAATTTGTTGAATTATTTGTTCACGTAATTGACTAATTAAATTACAAGCTTCCTAAACGAAAACAAAGTTTTATTTTTTTCATAAAAAACTTTTTTTTTATTTACTTCATATGATGTTGGTGATTGTGATGCATAAGTTAATAATCTAATTGTTTCATCATCATTTGTTCTTGCTGCAAGTGAAGCATTTTCAACTTCAAGTCTTTGATTATATAAATGTAATAATTCACGTTCTTTAACAAGTTTTTTTATATGATTCGCTTGTTCAGTAAAAACAGTTTCATAGTTTAATTTCATTTCACGAAAATCAATATCATTTTTTTCAGCTTTTTTAATTAAACTTGATAACTAAAATTAAATATATATATATATGTTAAGCAACAGAGTTTTTTCATTTTGAGAGTAATAACTACATGAGAAAAGGGTGTTTACTAAACTACTAGGAATTATTTATCTAATTATATGAATCGATAGGTATTCATTTGTAAACTGTCACTCAACAAGTGATGATAGCAAAAGAAACAATGTTAGGTAGAACAACATACTGTGTTACCTCTCACATCGATTTCAAGTTCAAATTGTGAGTAAAATAAAGTTCTCAATCGAGCTAATTCATTGTGAAAGTGTTAGACTTCCTAGTATCTTCTATTAACAAATACAAGTATAAGACTAAAGTGTGTTTTATTGCATTGAAGAATTTCCAATGTTGCTATCTGAGGACAGAAAATATTGAACAGACTGTGAGTTTCATAATGATTTTGTCCGATGAGCAATTTGTTTTGCAAAATTTGTACTCGAAAATCAATTTAAGGCAGAACAATGGATTTTATTGAAAAACTCCCGAAAATAGTTATAGTTTAAAAAGAGCAAATTCATCTCAAAAGTATAATATTACTGGTGACCTTGCCGCATGAGATCTAAGAGGAGAGTCCTCCAATTGGATATATCGCTTTTGAATCAGAACAGTGTGTATCATGTAGACCGTAATAAGTTATCAGTATCTTAAATAATGATCCTACTATTAGTTTATTTTTGCCAAAAACTGCATTTTTATGGTAATCTCTAGAGAAAAAATATGGTTTTTCTTAGGAACATAGAAAAAAACTGATTTTCGAATTTCAACTTGAAACTTTGATTTGAAATGAGCCTTAAAGAGAATAGTTTATTGTGAATGTCTTTGATCTTATCATCACTCCTATTTTATGATGTAGGCATGACGAAAGCGTCTTTTATGTCGCTCATATACGTCGACAGATTCTATGTTTCTATTTCAGGTTATAGCTAATCAATTGACTTCAAATATTTACAATAAATTCGAAAATCATTTTTTTTTCTGTGTTTCTAACCGTAATTAAAGCTTTTATTTAACAACTATCGTAAATACAGGGTGGCCCAAAAGTGATGTTACCCAAAAAAAATTAAATATCATCCTTATGGCTCGAGCAAAGAAGCTGATTTTTTTATCAATGATAGAGGCATCTTCAAGCTTTATATCTGTAAGAATAGGATCAGGAAGAACCTGTTTTAAGTAGCACCAATGAACTCAACAAAGGAAATTTTATTTTTTCACAAATAGGAAAAATAATGTACAGGGTAGGAAATAGTATTTTTTCACGGAGGTACAGCTTCAGCTACAAATGATATAAAACTGAGCTTTATGACAAATGAAAGCCCGTTAAAAATGGGATATATGAGTATAGCTGACAATCCATAGCATAACTATGGGCTAGAGAATTATGGAACAGTGGGAGTATGGTGCGGGACTTCTATCGGCAGTCAGCGACAAAAATACAAGGTTCTTAGAAAAATGATTCGTCTATCCCTCTTTGTAGAGCTATCTTCGCTGATCATTTTGGTGAAAACAAAATTTTAATTTTACCAATAGACGACGATGCTAGAGTTAAAATACTGAAAAAACGCCTTAGCTCTAGCAGATAGAGCTGTTTTGGATTTTAAATATTTTGACTCTAGTGTCATTGTTTATTGGTAAACTTTGAATTTTGTTTTTACCAAAATGATCAGCGAAGATAGCTCTACAAAGAGGGATAGACGAATCATTTTTCTAAGAATCTTGTATTTTCCTACCCTGGACATTGTTTTTCCTATCTGTGAAAAAGTGAAATTTTCTTGGTTGAGTTCATTAGTGCTACTTAATATGGATTCTTCCTGACCTTGTTCTTATAGATATAAAGCCTGAGGATGCCTCTATTATTGATAAAAAAATCAGCTTCTTTGCTCGAGCCGTAAGAAAGATATTTAATTTTTTTTTGGGTAACGTGACTTTTGGGCCACCCTGTATGTAATATGTCGGCAGCAATAAACCAACTAACCTCGTTAGCAAAGCCTCTCGTTCATCACAGACTGTACTTGAAAAATATCTCGTTATAATCTATGAACTACCTCTTTGCTTCGTTCTTCAAGGATTAACTAAGAGGATGGTAAAGAAATGTATCAGAAAATAGAAAGTATAAAACAGTCTAGCTGTAATTAGCAACAGGAACTACATCGTATATCATATTTTAGTTCTACAAGGATTCCGGTAAAAGGTTTTTAGAAAAAGCAGCAATGTGAATTAGATGTCATAGTCAAGACTTGATTGAAGCATAGATATTAAAAATAAAAATATACCAAAATATCGCCTTCGTCATCAGCTAATGATGCATAGTTTCTTAATTTTTGTAAACGTTTTGAATGATCCTAAAAACAAAAATTCCTTCATTGACATGAATAACCTTTTAAAAATGAGAAATCAACCTGTTCAATAACTTGATTAGCTTCAATGAATTGTTTCTCAAATTGATTACGCAATTGATGTTCTTTTTCATGTTCTGCTTTAGATAATGATAAATCAACCAGTAATTTAACATTTTCATCTTGTTTCTGACTATTTAATAAACGTAATTTATTATTTTCTTCAGCTTGTTCAGCATACTTAGCAGTAAATTTTTCTGCAAAATCCATTAGTTCAGATATCTAAATAAAATAACAAATTCTATCCTATTTCAGAATTTTCAATCAATACGAAAAAAAAAAAACAAACAACGTCTTCAATACTATAGAAACTAGTACAAACTTGTGTAAGTAAAGTATTCCAATCGGATTCAGTTTTTTGATAATCAATTGTTCTATCTGAATCATTTAAAGTTTCATTTAATGATGATGGTAATAAGATAGATGTTGATGGACTAGTAAAAGCTCGTTGTGAACGTCGATAATCATCGTGACGCTCTGAAGAAAAATAAAAGAAGTGAAGAAAAAAAACAAAACAACAAGATATCTTTTTACCATAAAGTATTTTATATTGATCTGATGTTAGAATATTTAATATTCGACGCATTTGATCTAATTGTTTTTGTTCAAATGCAAGAAAACGTTCATTTAAACGATTATACATATGTGAATATTTATCACGTTCATCATGAGCACGTTTTTCAGCAGATTTACCTGAAGAAAAATTTTATTTTCAAAATAATTTAAAAAAACATCTATTCATTCATACTTTCATTTAATTCTTTGTTTAATTCTTCTATTTGTCTTTCAAGTTGTTCGTATTGAATATTATGATCTAAAGTGTCTGTTTGAAGAGTAAGAATTGGTAATGATGATGATGATGCATTATTATCAACATCGGTTGTTTCGTTTGAAGAAAGATCATCTGTGCTACTAGATATTGTCATTAATTGATCCATGAACTCAAATGAAGAAATTTTCTAAACAAATATGAAATCAAAAAACGGAATAACCAAAATAATAAAGCAAAAAAAATAAATAAATATGATAATAGTTTATTTATTTACAGAGAGAATGACCAAAAAAAAAAAAAAAATGATAATTTGATAAGGAAAGTAAAACTTTTCTTTAGAAAAGTGAAAAGAAGTCCAACTTTTACTTCCGAAACATTCATGGATTGTATTACAAGGTTATAATTCGTTTTTTCATCTTTCTAATAATTTTCTCAATTTTTTCGATTGTTTTATTGAATTATATACTAACTCAATAGCTGATCATTTAAAAAATTTTATTCGATTATATAAAAAAAATCATATTGGCATTAGTTTGATACTTTGAAGGTTTCTCTCAGAGATGAATCTTAGATCAGATATATTATAACCAGGCTCAAAAACAATTTATTTGACAACGGAAAATTCTCTACGGTTCTTCATTCTATAGATATAATTTTTTATTTATTCGAAAGAACTTTTATTTTTTAAATTCTTACTTTTTAAGGGGAAAAAAGTTCGATGTTTCGAAAAATACAAAAAAAAATGACGACCTAATAATAAAATTCTTTTTTATGTATCAGTAACAAAGAATTATCTTCCCATGCATTTATCTCAATTTTAATGCAATTAAACATACGACATGGATAAAAATCATAATCTTTTATTCGAAAAATGAAAGTTTTTTGCCATACAATCATGTAAAGATAATATATTATATAATGTATTACGATCTGTTATTAACATAATAATATTTATCATCATACATAAGTGATAATAAACTCCTTTGCACAATAAAAAAACTCTAAAGGAGTTTACAAATGTAATCCATCTATTTTCCTAATATTTTAACTTGAAAAAAAAAAAAGAAGATTTTTGAGAATTTGGAAAGATATTTTTAGAGATGATGTAAATGGACTAATTAAAGTTTCAATTTGTTGATAAAGCAATTAATGAAGGAGATCTTCGATTGCGAAAAGGCTATTATTGACAATGAATCCAATGTCATATAAAAATGCAGTAGGATGTTAGAAAAATTTCACTTTGCATTAAAAATCAATTATATGTATTACTCATATTTCAAAAAAAATTTAAAGAAAAAGAAAAGACTTCTGTACATTTGAGTACTTCAATGCATGAGATTATTTTCTAGAATTTATATTTGAGAATACATATATAACACTGTATTAATAATTCATTGATTGTTTAACCGTATTTGTTGAAGTAATCTTATCTTAATTTAATATCATGTTATTATTTACAGATGATCTCAAAATGCCATAGGATGGGACAAGACTTTTGAAGATTATTGCATTCAAAAAAATCCATTTTTTTTTATTACGAACAATACAATCGTTTTTTTTTTGTACGATTCTGATTCAGTATTATCTATAGTAATGTCGCAAGTATTATACACTTAGCCATCTGTATTACATTATTACTGTAGTATTGTAATTATTTTTAAACAATGCCAGGTCCATTGTTCGAAAAATGCATGAGTAATCTAGGCAATCACAGATATACGTGATGAAAAGACTCTTTTTCTACACAATAAACATCACCACATTCATTTAGAAAACTCCTAACTCTTTATTTCATTATGACAGTACTGTTGGTTGGTCTTAAACTATTATCTGGAAGAAAAAAAAAAAGGCTGATCCATTACTAAATCAATACTGATATATAGATAAGCACTGAAATAATTAGTATATATAAACTAGAGGAAGAAATGAGAAATAAAACATTTTTCTATTATACCGCTGGTGAGTATATTGTACTCATAAAGAGAATGGTATACATTTTTTGATTGTGAAAGAAAAGAAAACAATTTAGAACTTCTTTAAGATAAAATTATGAAAGACAAGTTGAAATAATGGTTTTTTTTTTTAAATAAAATACATGTGAGGCAAATTAAGTTCAATGCGATAGAACTTGAGATGTACGGAAAGAATTTTAATTCCGGTCACTGTGACCAAACTACGAAGAAAAGAATGCTGTTATAGATGACATTAATTAAAGCAAAAGTCAGGAGTGATAATCAAATTTGTCGACTGAATGAATCAAAACACACATACTTAAGATTTTAATGCAAATAAATCCTTGAATAGTTTTCTCTTGATTCTGGAATCAGGAGTAAAAGAACTAAGTCCTCCACATCTCTAGATAGAGGTTAGAAGAAAAAAAAAGTACCTTCTGTTTATCATAGCATTTTAACCTAGTTTTTTTTTATATATGAAAAATTTATTTATGATCACTTGAACAAGGAAGCTTTTCATATTCGGATTTTATTCATGAATAAATTAATGATATAAAAGATTGTCAATTAAACATTAGAATACATGCAAAGGCAATCTATTTTTAGAATAAATGTTGTTTTTTTTCTGTTTCTTAATAATGTTATGATAACATTAAAAGAATTATGAACTATTCCAGAAATAAAATTTTGCAAAATTTCTTTTAAGACAATCAACAAAAAAAAAAAAAGATTTCAATTTGATGTTTATGCAAATGAAATTAGTTATTCTATATTTACTTCTAATATTAAATACAAACAAATTCTATTTTTTTGAATATCGGTCAAACTAAACATCATCAAAAAGAATTAAAAAAAAATTAATTAAGCAAATTGTTTCATCTGGAGAAGATGAACTGGCTCTTTTTTTTACTACTTCATTAATCTAAGTGCAAAAAAAAAATATATTCTTGTTAGATTGTCACCATAAAAAAGTATAACTAACTGAGCCAATCAAGTAACATTTTATAAAATAAATCTATACTATCTTAACTGAATTCATTAGAACAATAGCAAGAAAAAAATTGAACATCCGTTGAATAGATTGTGTGATTCTCATACAAATGAGATCATCTGTAAACAAAATGAGAACAAAGAAATAATGAAAATTCTATGAATTTTTTTATAGTTAGTCATTTCGTGTTTATGTCTTATGATAGGTTGGAATTGGTGACATTGAAAAAGAGAAACGAAGTAAAAATTGGAAGAAAATTGAGAACAGGTAAATTTCGAATGACGAACAGAACGAAAAAAGTAGGCAAACAAATATGAGAATGAATGAAGAAAAAAAAACGGTAAAAATTGACAAATATTCACAGTCCTTCGTGCATGTCTCTATCATTGAAGTTTATTCTTCACGACAATTATCAAACAGAACTATTACATTTAATAAGGAAGATGAACAATGTAGCTTGTTAATATTCTAGTACTTTCTATTCTCTTTTTTTCTAATATTCTTTGTAAAGGTCAAAAACGTTGTAAATAAATACTATTGAAATGACGCGTGTCTCTGTCTCTCTGTATTTTTATTATTTCCTCTTCTTTCATTTCTTCCACAAGGTTATGCTATTTTTTTACCTATTGATAGTTTAACATTGAAGTTTATCGAAAAAAGAAATTAGCACTTATAGTTATATCTTCAGTTATATGATTAATATGGAGATTTTGATATTAAGATTTAGAAGTACTAGATTTTTAAGTGTGAATTGACTTTATTTATAAAAACCAATCATTCTTGTCTGGACACAATAAAGAAAGACATTTCTTTTCTTGTCATCTGATTCAAGAATAGTGTAAGTCATGTTATTTTTCTTTTTTTTTTGTGTTGCATATAAGAAATAGAAATGTCTGTCTTGTTCATAACACAACCCATCATATGTACGCCTTAAGGTAAGACAAATTTTTTTTTATCAATGTGTCAAGTGTGAACTGTATATGATGAAAGAAGGTAACTGTCGCTGTGTCTACAACACTATTGTTTTATTGGTTTCAAGAGAGAGTTAGATAACTATGTTGGTTGCATGCAGAGTTAATTGATCATAATAGAAGGAAAAACCATTTACATCTATATATACTTTCTTATTTTATATAGATAGACAGAAAAAATTTATTATTCAAGACACTTACATTGATGCGTCAATGACAGAAAATAAAATATCAATGTATATTTTAGTATTTTTTGTTTCTTTAAAATTTTTATATTAGACGATCAAAAGATTATTCTAGACTTCATGATTAGTGTTTTTTATTCTTTGTTCTTTATATTGTCCTATTTACTATTTGTAGTCAACCTAAATCTATTCGAGTGATGACTTTTAATTTAAGATAAACAGAATACGAAGATGAGAACAGCAAAACGACAATTTTCTTTCTAATCTTCATATAATAGATTAAAAATTCTTTAAAATAATAATCCAAGAGAAAACTCAGATTAATAATTATAAAACATTCTTTTTACTCGTTGATATAATTGTTTCTTTTTTCAGACAATGAATTTTTCTTATGTCAATTTAATATTACCGATCTAAGTTCGTGACAAAATGAATAAATCAATGTTAACATTTTTAAGTAAATTATCAATAGTTCTATTATGTATTCTTGGTCTTACTGAATTAGCATTTGCTCTATGGAGTGTACTTGATCATCGATATAAAACTTTAGCTTATAGTCTTGCTGATGTTGGTTATATTGTAAGTATATAACTTGTAAGAACAAAAAAAAATTGTTTTTTTTAATTATTTATTTGATAGGATCTATGGATATTAAGATATTTATCATTATGTTTATTTGTTTCATCGATTATAACATTAGCTATGTGTTTAATCTTAGTATGGGGTTTATATTCAGCACATGTATTTTTATTTATTGCATCAACAATGCTTGTTTTTATTATTATCGGTGAATTTACTATATCAATACTTACATTTACAAGTAAATATGAAACAAGACTTACACTTATGGAACAATTACCAAAATTAGGTAAATTTAATTTATAAAAAAAAAACAAAAAAATTCTATTTTTAAATTAAATATTTATAGTAATTACTTATCGACAAGGTAATGATGAACGTGCTAAACGAGCTTTAGATAAACTTCAATCCACATTTCATTGTTGTGGAGCTGATGGACGTTTATCATATCAAAATAATGTACCATTAAGTTGTAATATGTTTAATATTGGATGTCTTACACGTACAATGTATTTTCTTGATTCATGGATGGATGCATTAGCATATATATTATTATTTTTTAGTTTAATTAAACTTTTTATTGTTCTATTATTCTATTCATTTTTATGTCTATATCAAAAACATCGTTTAAAAACTAATCGTCATTTAATTAATGAGTCATCTGTATGGCGTCATTCATCAAGTTTAGATTCTTCATCAGGAGATAATCTTTCAAAAAAAGTTCTCATGTCAACAACAATGACAAATAATGATGATGATGATGATGTAAATAATAATCATGATAATGATTATATTGAAAAACGACATGTTATGCCTAATGTATATGAATCATCATCATCATCATCACCATTAAATCAACGAACACAAAATACAACGATAAATTCACCATCATCATTATTGAATAATAATAATAATGGATTAATGACATCTTATGAACAATATACATCAAGAAAATTATCAGCAATATCAGAAAGAACTGAAAAAAGTGAAACAGATGATAGTGAACCTGATCTTTTACGTTTAAAACATTATATTCCAAAACGAAAAGCAATTATAACAGCTATTCATCAAAAACAATATCTACCATCATTATCAAAACAATTACCAATTACTAAAAGTCGACGAAAAATTATACGAGAAGATGATAATGATTCAGGTAATTATACAAAATTCTATATCCTTTTTGTTGTTTGTACATTCTAAATTAAAACTCTTTGTTTCTAATTAGGTGTTGAACGTTCATCATCAGAAAAATCTTTCGAAGATCAAAACATCCAAAAACCATATTCTGATATTTCTACAACAATTGATACAACTACAAAATCAAAACAAACAAATAATAAATCACCTTCACTTAGTTTTTCCAAAGTTTTTATAACATCTGTATCTCAAATTCAAACAAAAGATGATGAAATTCAAAAATCTCTTACAACAGCATCATCATCATCCGATAATTCACCTTCAAATGATATCATAATAATACCAAAACCAATATTAAAAAAATCTAGTCCACAAACATCACCAGATCAAATTTCAACAAAATATCGTGATCAAAAAAAAATTTCATCTAATTATACAAATACATCTTGTTTATTACATAATATACCAAAACCAATACCACGATCAAGTTTAAAACAATTAAAACAAGAAGAAAGTTTTGTTTAATTAATAAACTATTTGATTAGATTGGATTCTTTTAATTGTCTATATTCTTCTTTTAATTTTTGTACAATTGAACGTCCTTTTATTTCTTTTAAATGAGCTGGACTTGTACAATGTTTATCCAAAATTAGTTGTGTATCCATTTCTTTCCAACATATTTCACATAGAAATTTTTTCGAATTATTTGAAAGTGTTTCTAAATTTCGGTATTTACTCCATGTATGTAATCGATTCTTATGATTTTGACCTTCGAAATGTATTTTCGAACATGGTTCACCGGAAAAATAAACATTACAAAGTTCACAATATGGAGGATATTTCCATGTGATAAATTCAGATTTAGCAACAATTTCAACTGGAATTTGTTCTTTTGATGAAGGATTATTCGTCGATATTTCTTCAGTCATTTTCTTATTATCTAAAATACAGAACGAATCATAAATAAATAAATTATATTTAACACTTAATATCTTCAGTCTAGTGTAATCAATCAGTTCTTCAGAGACTATTGATATCAGTATGCAATAAGTACATTAAGCCGGTGGTCACTAAACTAATACTGCACGTTGCTACTATTGCAGAGAAGAATTTTACGATCTTATCAACCTATCATTATGTAAAAGAACACTTTTATAATTACAGTGGCATATTTTGAGAGCCTTTCAAATCATTGAACTTTTCTCCGCTTAAAAAGTAATAATTTAAAACAAACAAAGGAGTTCAGTCGTATATTTTTAAAACAAAAAAGAATTAAGTGAATAGAATAAAAGCCTAGAAAGAGTTTTAGGTTACGAAATGATCTATTTTCACTCTTCTTTGTTGAATATCTCTCGACAACATCATATTATCGAACTGAAAATCTCATATGATTTGAATGTATCTAACCGCAGATTGATTTTTGAAGGATAAGGTAGCCTTAAAGGACTACACAGTGATAGGTTCGCTGAGTCATGAGCTTCTTCCTTTCTTGAGTTATAGGATTTGCAACGAAATATATGTATTAAAAATTTTCCATGTGTCGTCCTAAGAATGGTTCGAATACTTTTGACCAATAGTGTATTTCGTCATTGAGGTCAGTAGTAGTAGTTCAACACAATATATATTTGATAGTTTTCTTATCATTAAAAACTTTGACGAATCCTCTATTATGCCACCCTATATAGAATAGTTTCTTTTCAACAAATAAATCTAAAGTTCACATTTAAAAATAATTAGTTTATTTAAATCATTTCATTTGTTAGTAATGTAACAACATAGAATAAATTTGTATCTATCTTTAGATTCTAAATTTTGTCAGAACGAATTTTAATCTGCTATACGGTTGTTGACTTATTCTCGATATTTAAAAAAAAAAACAATTAACCTTAGAGATGATTGTTCTGACGAATTATGATAGAAAAATAAACTGTTCGGATTCAAGCATGAAATTCCAAAACGCAATAATATAATATTAGATAATGTACTAAAAGAATTTGTTTCTAATGAAAACTCATCTACTGATGATGATGATCTATAATTATCATGGTTACCACGAATACTTTTTTTCCATTTCAGTATCATCAACAACAAACGAACGTATATTCAGTTAAACTGGAAGAAATTTAGAAGCATGAAGACAGTGCCTAAAACCTGTAACTTGATTCACTTGCTTTTTTTATGTCGTTCATTGGTGAAGTTGACATAACAGTATATTTTGTTATATGAAACAAAAGTTTCAGAAGTGTATATGACTGCGAAAATATCTGATAATTGTGTGCTACTTTCGGTTGGGTATCTGAGTCCATGTTCAGATGCGACAAGTGGTACTTAACCAGGATGTTACTCTAGATTATTTTTTGAAAAATATTATAATCGAACTTCAACTCATATAATTAGAACTGTCAAACATACGACTGAAGTAATTCATTACTTCTATTCAAAGAATCTGAATAAACTTTTTTGGTCAAATTGAAAAACTTAATGTTCAACTCGTGAGAGAATCTCTCCGGATGCCAAATCGCTTTTCTACTGAGACGATGTTCGTTTGATGAGTGCTAAAGACTAATAGAGCAGGTTGCATGAAAATCGACTTTTGAATTTTGACCTAAAACTATGCATGAACAAAGTTCTCAATCAGATTAATATTCGAAATTCTCTCATGTGTAAAAAACAAGTTTTGTTCATAGATTTACTTCTTCACCAACGAAATACTAATTTCAAAATCAGCTAATCTCATTAAGAACTTTGTTGTTGCAAAGTTTGAAGTCGAAGCTCGATTTTTCATGTGATTTGATAAGAATCACCGTTTTCTGTTGAAAAACCAAACCATTCTAGACTTTTTCTATTACTCTCTAGCACTCATCAAATAAAAATCGTGTTCGTCGAAAAGCGATTTGACATCTGAAAAGGTTTCTTCGTCAGACTAATAGTAAGTCCTAGAAGTTATTATTTATCAATAATATAAACTCACTTTCGCATAGTGCAAAACCCAGAAAAGAACCTGTTTAAAATGAAAAAAGTTTCAAGTCTATTGTTCTTTATTTTATCAAAATTCCCAGTAACAACAATGAGTCATTTGAAGAAAAAAAAAATCTTCTTGAATAGATTCCCGAACAAATGGGAAAAAATGATCTTGAACTACGCCATCTTTATTCTACAACACAGTAAAAATACGATGAAAAATCTACTCACGTACTGCTAAGAAAATCTCTAGTATAATTTATTCGAAATAAAATATTGTATTTGACTTAGAAAAAACAAGCACATGATTATTTGATGCTTATTATAAAATAAGAAAAAACATTTTCTTCATTCTCTTTTTTTTTTCTTGTTCTCATTTATTTCTAGATCGCAGTCACGAAAGAAAGAGAATGACAGAACGATAAATAATGTCTTGTTTGTTATAGACCTCTATTTGGTAGTGTTACATTGAAGATGAATCAACACAATAAATATTTGTATCAAAAAAAGACAATAGGCTTTTTCTTTTACTTTCAAAAATTTAATATTTGATCAGTAAGAATATATTGATTAGAAAAAAAAAACTCTCTTCATTCAGTATAGTATCTACATCTATGATGAGTCGTAAATGCCAATATATCTATCAAAGAATTATTTTATTTTTTATTATTAATTTAATTATATTTTTTATTTCACAAAATTTTCTTATCAAAATACAAAAACCTTATGTACATCGTACTTATAATAATCATAAATCTATTTTAAATAATAATTTAACATTTAAAAATGTATCTATTGTTCATTATACAACATTATATGGTATACGTACTGATTCTCGTACAAAAATTTTTAATGATAATTTAAAACAAATATGTAATATACTTGATCCAGAAGATTATTTATTAGCTGATAGTGTTTTTGTTAGTCTTGTTGATTTTGTTCGTTTTCCAAGTTTATCAAATGGAATCTCATATCGAAGTCTACATCAATCTCAATTGTGGATAGTTCATTCAGAAGAATCTCCAAGAAATTCTTATCGAATAATGGATGTGAAGAATATAAAAGATCTTGATGATTGGTTTAATTTAACATCAACATTTAAACCGGAATCGGATTTTCCTATTCAATATCGAGTATGTATTTGTTTTTTTTTTTTTCAAATAATGAAAATTTTACATTAACATTTGTATATCATATACTTCAGTCATGGAAGAATTTCTATCGATATTAAAAATCTTTTGAAAAATAAAATATGTATCATTTTAAAAGAACTATCCATATGTGTAACTATTAAAAATGAAGAAAAAGACATAAACTTATTTTTTTAATTACTGGCGATCTGACGAAGAAACTCTGCCAACTGATAAATCGCTTTTGTCTCGAGACCACGTGTATTGCTCAGATCTAAATGAACTATGAATATCCTGAAAAGAGTTCGTGTCCTTAGTTTATTACTGTGGGGGATACTGCACTTATATGACAGTGTTTCAATGAACGCCATGGTCCTCCTCAGAAACGTGGAGAAAACGGATTTTCAAATTTCGATTTCGAACTTTGAATGGAGATAGGCTTTAATGAGAGTAGTTTTTTGTGAAATTTTTAGGTCTTTTGATTTCCTTCTATCCTGAAGTATGAATATAAAATCGGCCAGTTTATACGTGCGATGTAAATGACGTGTTATAATCATAGTTGTATCTTAGGATAAAGCAGAAGCTCATTTAACGTACTTTTTCGACTTTAAAATGTTCTTGACATGGCGCTTGGAAACTCGTAAACATCTAATTGAAAATTTCCATGATGATCAGAACTATCTAAAATCATTCAATGATGCGCATTCGAAAAGTATTTCTCCGTCTATTGAGTCAGCTAAGATTATTATATTTTTACTTTCATACGTAACGCATCTGTGCACAAGTAATGATTCATCAAACACGTATACAAAGTAATACCAAAGATATAATTCAGTACATTTATGGACTTGATATAGTTGAAGACATTCAAGTTTAGTGCTTAACAAAAATATGTTTATTTTAATCATTTGAGCGTTCATAGTTTATTTCCGAAAGGTTTTAGGATATTCTGGAAAGTGAACTTTCATGAGGGAACTACTGTAATGAATTTCTCGTATTTAAAGTGATTTTTTACCTATAGATAAAACTTATTAGGACTAGAAAAATTGTTCGTAAACATGACCTCTTAGTCACATGTTTTAATCGCTTTATTGAATCGCTAGCATAGAGAAGGGTATGGTTACTGAGAACTCTAATGAAAGTATTTCGATCTGAAATTTTATTCATACACAAGTCTAATAATTTTTAATATAACTAAAATTTCTTCACTTAAACAGATATTTTCTGTTCGAAATATTCAATCGCTCTGAGAAGGCGACATGCATTTTGTTTGAAAGTTTTGGTATTTATCAGTAAGTATTAGATCGATTGATATGTAATTTCATCGTCAGTGTAGAATTGATCTTCTATATTGTTCTTTCATATTTCGACAAATGAAGTTGGCATTGTTAAATTTCAATAACAAGTTTACCGGCATTAGATTGCTGGTTAGAGAACAACTATGAATATACTGCGGTAGAATGACGATCAGAAGATACTCAACCGTTTAAGTATCAAACTACCTCCGATATAGCGCATATGGAAAACCGTTATCAATGTTTGATCTACTCGATGCTTAATAAATTGAAAGTTTTCACTTAGCGGAAAGAAGCACTATGTAAATCTTCAGCTGTATGGAATAGATTTAGTTGTATTTATGTAAACGAGATCAGCAAGAATATGTTCTATGTAATACAATAACTACACATTGCAGAAGAACCAAATCAATCTTCCAAGAAGCGTCATCCCTTCAACTCGGATACTGGGTAAAGCACTGATTACTACCTCTCTCTGTGATCAACGTTGATGATCACGATTGCGATGTTCAAGCGAGGAATCCGATAATTTGTTTAATTCTATGAGTAGAAATCAAACTTATTCATATTTAATGAAAATATTTAATGACTGATATTCCGAAAGAATAAAAACTAATAGAACAAAATTACAGATACTAGTGTCCAACATATATCAAACTTTTTTCTTTCTTTCATTTCGTTGTTAGAATCAAAGAATATGTCCTTGTCCTCGATATTTCGCCGTTGGACCAACATACTTATAAATCGAACACTAATAGATATTTTTTGTTTTCTGCTATAAAGTCATGTTTATGTATCGACAAGCGAGAGCTGATTCATATACAAAAAAATTACATTACTTTGTTTGTTTGCTTTTGTCAGGGATATCGCATCAAACCAAAAATTGGTGATCTTCTTAAAAATAAACTCAATATAAGTCTTCATCAAACCATCAATTTAACATCAGATTTACTATCAGACACTTTTATAAATGAATCTTTTATTTATTTAAATACTCTTTCGTCTATATTTCATAAAGAATTAATTAATCGAAAAAAAATTCTATTAAATCTTTGCCCATATACTTGTAATCAACCATTGCCACATCATGCCATAAAATCTCTTCAACCTTATTTAAAACAAACTACACAAAAAGTTTTAAATCAAAATATTGTTTATATTGTTTGGTTTGTTTCTAATTGTAATACTCATTCACGTCGTGAAGATTATGTAAATAAATTACGTTCACAAAAAGGTATTCATATTGATATATATGGTAATTGTAAATCAATTTATCATTCACCAATTTTATCAATTCAATGTCAAAAAGGCACATCAAATTGTATAGAAAATATTTTATTAAATTATCGTTTTTATTTATCATTTGAAAATTCAAAATGTGATGCATATATTACAGAAAAATATTGGATACAAGGTTTAAATGGACACACTGTACCTATTGTATTAGGTGCCAAAAAAGAACAATATCAGCGTATAGCTATACCAAATTCCTATATACATGTTGATGATTTTCAAATGATAAATAAAAACGATAATTTAATAAAATATTTTCTATACAATTTGATGTGCCTTTTTGACATTGAATTGATAAAATTGGTGAATGATAAATTGATTTACAATTACCATATATATCAATATGAATACCTTTTTGTGAACGTAATTTATTTNGGGGGGGTTGTGGGTGTGTGGGTGGGGGTGGGTGTGGGGGTGTGGGTGTGGGTGGGTGTGGGTGTGTGGGTGTGGGTGGCTGTGGGTGTGTGAGTGTGGGTGGTTGTGGGTGTGTGAGTGTGGGTGGCTGTGGGTGTGTGAGTGTGGGGGTGCGTGAGGGTGGCTGGATATGGGTGTGAGTAGGTATAAGTGTGTGGGTGTAGGTGTGTGGGTGTAGGTGTGTGGGTGTAGGTGTGTGGGTGTAGGTGTGAGTGTGAGTGTGGGTGTGAGTGTGGGTGTGGATCTTCCTTTCATCAATGCTCCTACCCACACCCAAACTACCCACACCCACACCCACACCCCACATCCACACCCGCACCCACACCCTCATGAACTTCTAATTAATTCACGGAATTCAAATTCAAATCAACACCACTCATTTATGCCCTAAAAGGGCAGTTTTTGGCGACCAAAATAAGTTCGATGAACTTATTATAATAATTCGAATTATTATAATATGTCTTTTCATTTAACAATATTGTAATGTGTTATCCTTTGATGTTAATCATATGTATATATTATAACAGTTGTTCTGCTTTTCGTTAGTCGTTTCCTGATGATGATGATTGTAAATTATCGAAAGCTCGAAATAAACTCGTAATTTTCGTTGAAAATTAAATATGTTCTTTGTTACAGTCTTATACTCTTTTATTACTTATGAAAAATTTTGATCAACAGATTTGATATATCTTGAGTGCATTAAAGATATGCTTTGATGCACACCCACACCCCACACTCTACATCCTAGATGTAGCCTATGTGGGCTATGCTAGAAAAGTTGTGTCTAATCATAATAAAGAGTTTTATTTGACACGTCTATGGATCGGTGAAAATGTGAATGGGAAAAGGTTCGAAGAAGGTTCACACTGATATGTACGCTTTTACATCACTAGGTCATAGTGTAACTTGTTCTGATTATTATTTCATATTCACCCATTGATTTACATGAGTATTCCTCAGCTTGGATCTGTCCATTTCTATATGTTCATCGAATAATCGTAATTACACTATTTTCGTAGTCTATCATTCGTTCATAGTCGTACAAAATTGTTTGGGTATCATTTATCGTAATACTTGAACTGTTGACTTTTAGAAATACTTGAATTGTGTATTGCATATAAGTTGCTCTTATCATATATATATCAAGCGACTAACAGAAGAATGTTTACTTCGAACTAACTTTTTCTTTTCAGTCAAAAAATTAGCAAAATTGAAACGAAACGTATTGACGAATTGGTATCGATATAATTTAATATACATGCACATCGAATCGATATATCCTTAGTATGAAAATAAAGGTTTATAAATACATTGCACGTGAAGACTTCTTATTCATTCCTACGAATCTCTTGACGTATTTTTCTTTATCATTCTGTACAAAATGTGAAAGTGTGATATTCAGTAATAAAAAATATTTATTGTTTCTTTTGCTCTTTCTTCTCGTCTTTGATACGATGTTCTGCAAACTAACGACATGGAATGTAGCTCTTAGATTTGCATTGACTCATATTATCAAAAATACAAAAAGGTAGATTATTTATATCTTTTGCTATGTAAGTCGACACCAACCAAAAGAGTAATGCATTATGCTGTTATCACTATGTAAATTGCATTTGTCATAAGAAAGAGAGACAAAAAAAAGAACATTTATATTTGATTTCATTATGTGCATAACGATCACAGAAACTAAAGAGAAAATACTCTCAATGGTAGGTTTGAAGAATCTTGCTGCAATGTAGATGCATTATAGAATAGCAAACGAAAATCAAAAAGGCTTACGAAAGTATAACCTAGAAGAAATCTTTTTTTTTTGAAAGGTATATCCAAGAGTATTTCATAGAAGTAAATCGTTAAAAGGTATCTTATTCATTACATTTTAGTAAAATCTTCGAATCGGCTTATGAGTCTAACATATCCTTTCTTTATTCATAAGTTCCATACGTCACCACAAAAATCAAGGTGAGAGAGAAAAAATAAGGACTGCATATGTCTTCAGAGTGACGATGGAGTCTTTTCGATTACATAGTCTTGGGCATCGTCAAAGTAACTCTTTCCGATGAGTAATAGGATAATCTACACTTAGGAACGTAAAGATATATGCTGTGTGGTAAAACTTAGAATAATATACCCTATTTTCTTTTGTAAAATTTCATAGGAACTATATATAACCTCTGGCACTTGAATCGCTACTCAGTTTCTAAATTTAACAATTGACTACTGTATTACTGCTATTTATTTTGCATCCATGCGGATTAAAATTCATTTTTCATTCATTTGTTCTTTCAGCTGCTCCTCCTTGTTATTATTAACAATCACTGTGATTTGATTTCACATGCATCTTAATTATCTGCCCATATTTCTCCTATGTTGGTGTTGGTTTGGGTTGACTTCAACACTATTTGCTACCAACTTCTTCTGCTCTACTTCAGGTCTACCTCAAGTCCTCTTATCGAATGGTCCAACAATTTCAACAAACTTCTCCTATCCATCGACCATTGCTCCAAATGTGCTTTTTCAGATACCTTTTCAACTCACCTCTACTGTTCAGATCACTGCTATTGCCATGTTTCCACGACAGAATAACGGCTCCCTCACTGTCAGAGCTGCTCTTTATAATGCTGAATCTATGATCATTGCACAGGCGGCAACAATCACTGTCTCTGCAGTTGAATTCTCGGATGCTCAACCTAAACCATTGACATTATCATTCGATCAACCAGTTAATCTTACAGCTGGCATTAGCTACAGTGTTGCCTATTGGTATGCTAGTTCCAGTAACAACAATGCTGGTTATGTCGCACTATTCGGTACAATGCCTGCTAATGCGACGTGGATTACTCCAGGTGTTGACTTTTCTACAGTGAATGGTTTATTTCCAAGTTTCCTAGCCACATTTAATATTTTCGGAACTGGTACTAGAGCTCCATTTATTCAATTGGTGGGATTACTATGCACCAATACAGTTCCTGCTACATCTATTCATCTCAATGAGACAATAAGCTCCATATTACAAGCAATTCAACGTAAATATGTTGGCGTACCGGCCATTGGTGCCTCGATCATTCAAATGCCCTCATTAGAATCTTATACAGGGGTTCAATCATTACCACATGTGATCTGTCCTTTTATTCCTGTATCAACGGTAGTGTCTGGTGTTCGCCGCACTGATGCAGTGACTCCAGAAGTAGTAACAGTCAATGATAAATGGCACCTTGGATCAGAAACTAAATCAATGACAGCCATTCTCATTCATATGTTGATTGAAGCAGGCAAATTAAATCTCAACACAACTGTTAGCGAGATCTTTCCTTACTTGCCATTTTCTTCAATTTCAACACCACCTTCAAATTCATGTACGTGCACCAATCTCTCTAATGCTGTTGGTTATTTTGCTAAATCTCCCTATTCTTGTGGTTTGACCATTCATACTTCATGGAAATATGTAACTGTTGCTCATTTATTGACTCACGCCTCTGGTCTTGGTGCACTGGAAACGATATTTGAGGCACTCACTGTTGAAGAATATGCAATAGAAAGAAATGGTACCAAGGAGTCTTGTAGCAACTATCCTTGGCCCTCACGTCATTATCGTTTAAGTCTCTTATTACCGATGGCTATTCCGAATTCACCGTCATCGATTGATGTTCCGGTAGCTTTCTCTTATTCGAACAATAATTTCATTTTATTAGGATTAATATTAGAAGAAATCTGGCATTTACCATGGGAATCGATTATTCAACACCAATTATTTGATCCTTTGGGAATGACTACAGCAGGATTTGGCTCACCAATTGAAGAAGTGCCATTGAATTCATTCGCTACTCAACCATTAGGCCATTTCATAGATACAGGTAATGTGATACATAGTATGGATCGTGATTTACCGAAATCTTGGGCTCCTGCGGGTACAGTTCATGCTAGTCTTAATGATTGGGCTAAATTCATTGCCTGTCATTTACAAGAAGGACGTGATCTAACGTCATTCGGCTTTGCTCCTATGAATAGTAGTTTTCTTAATTCGGCAATCTCACCCTACTTACTCTCGGCATCGATGTGGGAAAGTATTCATGCCGCATATGTTTTCCCTTCAGCATCTACTCCCAATGCTCAATATTCACTCTCTGCAATGGGTATTGACAAGGACAATCTTGGCCCATCTCTGACGCACACTGGTACTAACACCATTTGGTTCGCTTATGTTGTAGTTTATCCTCAATTGGTTCAGCCNTTGCGAAAAATGAGATATTTTTGTAAATAATTAATTATTTCATGACCTTGTAATGAGCTCAATGAACTTTTGTTTAGATATGACCTTCTAATGGAGGTGGCTTTCTAACATGGGGTGACTTTCTTTTCTGAGCGAGAGCTTACCAACATCCACCCATACCCTCGTATTCATTGTTTACAAACACTTTGACGGAAATCATGAAAAATTACCGCTCGAAATATTTTTTCCCATAAATTTTTGTACAATTTTCAATTTGAAGTTATGGTATCATCATCATCTGCTCGTTCATTATTTCAACGTACTCTTCATTTAATGCCATAAGAGAAAACAGTTTGGCTTGAAGCAAATTATTAAAATATATAATTTTAAAACTTATTGTTTTTTTAATAGTATTTTAAATTTGAATTATTCTATGTTGAATTAGTAGAACAACTATAAGTAGTACTTGATTAAACAAAAGAATAAATGGAAACTGATGAAGAAGACGCAATATTACAAGGAAAAATTGCTGAAATTGTTTTTTATAATGCACAAGCAACTTTTGAAATTCAGTGAAAAGTAATATTTAATTTACTTTTCTTAGCATTAGTTGTTTTTTTAAGATAATTCCATATTTCTTTGTTCATTTGTCAAAATTCTTTATGAATTTTCCAAATTTTCCTTTTGTTGAACCATTTGTAGATCAAATTTATTTAATGTAAAATAAAATTAAAAATATTATTCTAATGATTTTGCCCAATCTCTGATAGCTCAGTGTCCATTGATAAAGGAACGTAAAATGTTTTTTGAAGCAGCTAAAAAGGAACAAGACGTTAATAAGATTTAATTTAATAAAATATTTAAATTAACATAGCTTTCATGACTGCTATATTTGAACAACAATTAAATAATTCAATTCTTGATAAAAGTAAATATTTTTATTTTAATTATGTGATTTTTTAATTGATTTATTTAGATGAATTGTAGAATTTATATCTTGATTGTTGGTGTTCAACGTCTTAGGCAAGCACCAGATTTTGCCAAGATCAGATAAAAAATTTCATGCGAGATCAGAAATATAATTAAACTAGAAGATATGATATATGTATTTTATTGACTTAAAGATTATAAAATTCATAGGCAAACGTCAATGTTTGTTAATCTTAGTTTTAACTTACCGTCACCATTTAAGTAGAAAACGAAGTTTAATTTTTAATTGTTAAAAATTTCTTGAGACTTGTTAATTAGAATCATATAATACAACGAAAGATTTTTGAGTAGTGAAGTATGTTTTACCGTATAAACTGATCATGTTTAAATTCATTTTCAGTGTCAATTCAATGAGTATTGAAGGAAATTCGAAACTAAATCGTCTATAGTCTATATGATCAGACATGCAAAACTTTCAATTATTTCTTAATTCTATTTACCAAGTTAGTAAACTGTTCTAATAATTATCTCGTTTCTCACTATAATATTTACATTATAATTTTTATCTTTTCAATTTATTTAGCACATCTCCACTTGTGATCAACCATTTTCATTAGCCAGTAAACAGATTTCTTTAACATCTAAACGTTATTTAGAATGGTTACAAACGCTACTGATCATTATCCAGGGTGTGGGTGCAAGTGTGTGAATAGAAGTAGAACAGTTTTATGTCAAATGACGTTTTTTCCCGTTTTGTCAGAACATTATTCAGATGGATTTTCAAAAGATATTATACCGTATGAATAATTCAGTATAAAGATTTGTACAATACACTTGAATTATTTTGATATCAAAGTCCTTTTTCATTTACTATGACACATATCATGCTCATCAAACTAATATAATTAGCAAGTAATGCTCATCAAACTAATATAATTAGCAAGTAATGCTCATCAAACTAATATAATTAGCAAGTAATGCTCATCAAGAGACTCTCTCATCCTTTTCTGAAAGAAAGTCTTTTTATCAAAAGCTGAAAGTTCAGTTGTTGATCAATCGGATAAATAGTTTAGTGACTTGCCGATCTGAATGTAATAGTAGTGGAATTGATGTTGCATACTCTTAGCCTTTTTAAGTTCCTAATATGCAATCGATATTTTGCGACCACTCAAAATTTGAGTTGCAGTTTTAACAAAATTCTTCTTTCGTAAATTTTTTTGATAAAAACTTCCAATTATATATTATGTTGTTAAGAAACTTTGACTCGCCTAACATGCATTATAAGTATCCTTAAGTCAATGTACACTTTTCGATGCAATATTTATCATTTAGTAAATTGTTTATTATGGGAAATAGTAATTTAAGCTTCTACAACATTAAAAGTGACATTATGATCAGATGCTGCGGAAAACAATATATAAAGATAAAAAAAAGAAGATAAAATAAACGATAACCCAGAATGGTAATTTCAGCCATCGAAAACGACCTGAAACACTGTGTTCATCGTTCTACGAGCTTACGGAAAGCGGTACCGTTTTTCGACACTTTATATCGTTTTTATGCCGCTTACGGCACTATTTTCTTGGGCATGGAAAGAGTTTGTTTTAGGAAAAATAAAACAAAGCCAGTTATTTCAATGTGGGTGGGGTGCGTTGGATAATAGTGAGGGCGATGTGGGTGCGAGTGGGGGTGTTAGTACTATTTGTCCCTACGCACCCACACTCACACTTCTTGAGAATACTACCGTTCGATAGAAAATTCAATTATCTATCCATCACAATCAGTTAGAGAGCCACCACAAGTTCAGGAGCATATGTCAGCAAGAAAAAAATCGAATCCGCTGCTTTACTATCCTTACGTTTTCATCAGCAGTATTTCTTAAGTGAAAAATCTATCAACATTTGCGTAGTTAGCAAAATTAGCAGCTCGATTAACTTTAAAAGCGTTTTTTTTAATTTACAGAGAAAAGATTGCTGTCAATTTTTATGTTCTATTATTAACTTTTACGATAATATTAGCACATTAGAATTTTCCCAATCGATCGTTGATTATCAGCTTTATAGACAAAGAAATACTGTAATGGTGCAGTTTCAGAATGACACATTGATAGGAATACGTTACTATTGTCGTCATAAAGTTTCTCAGAGACATTATCAAATAGTTAGAAACAGGTAACGTCCATCAGACTTTTCACGCTTTCTTTGTCGAAATACATTTTGCACAGATAACATCTATATTTCATCTATGCTTTTGGAAAACTTCTTGACATGCAAAACAATGATCATGTAATAATTTTCACGATACATTTTTTTTTTGTTTGAATCAGAATGCTATTGAAAATTTTGACAAGATTTTCCTTAAGAAACATTTTTGTCTGCAGTGAATCATACAAAATAAACATATGTTTATATTAGTTTGAATAAAAAGTAGTACAACCCTTTTTTAAATGTTTTCTCATAGGTATCACTGAAAATGATAATGCAAACTAAACGTCACATAAAATATTCAATAAAAGGATTGTTTTTAGCTAACAATCGAACCTTTTGTATTGCTCCGCCAAACTAATAAATTTAATATATGACCTGCCCATAACATGCACAGTTGTAGATATATTCAAATGTAAATGTATTCCCGTGAAATGTACTATGTTCATAATTTGAAATTTTAGCCGTACTTATTTTTCATTTCTATTTATGCTTTGATAGAGTTTGTTGAGTTCCATAAGAAAAAGTTTTTTTTCAAATAATTATAAATAAGAAAATGATGAGAAAACTCCAAAATACTACTACATTTCAAATATAAAAGCGCAATAGACCTAAAATTTTGTTTTTCGTAAAAATTTCTTATTTATATTTAAAAAGTCTTTTTCTCTATTGATAAATACTGCTGAAATTTTGAATTTCCCACATATTACATGTATTGGAAATATCTTCAAATTTGAATACTTCAATCTGTGCTCGCGATAGGTAGGTCAAAATGCTCAATTTGTTAGTATTATGATGAGAGTAATAATTTGACCCGGACATGATCAATCTTTTTGTGTACCAGTACAAAAGGTTTCATTATAAGTTAAAAATTGATGGAAAATAGGGAAATTTATACGTAATAAACAATTCCAAAAGCATAAATCATCAACAACGATTCTATTTCCTTATCTTACACTTCTTAGGGTGGGTGTGGGTATCGGAGAGAGGTAAAAGAAGGCTTACACTCACACTTATATCCATGTCCATATCACACACTCGCACCAACATCCACGTTTGCACACCGTTGGACTGATTCATGACTTGTTCTGATTATTGTTTCATATTCACCCATTGATCTTTACAAATATTTCTCAGTTTGGACCTATCCTCTTTTATATGTTCATCGGACAAAGGTAGCTACACTATCTTCATAATCTTTTATTCGCTCATTGTCAACGAGATTGTTTGGTTATCGCTGATCGTAACATTTGCATTATTGACGATCAGAAATATTCGAGAAGCGCAGCCTGTATAAGTTGCTGCTATGTATGGTATATGGCAGACGACTAGCACCAGAACATTGAGCATAGACTCATTCTTTCTCTTGTATAAAAAAATTAGCAAATCTGAAACGAAACGTGCTAAACAAGCAGCGATCAAGCTATTCGTTCGAACATTTAGTTCATTTATTATTTTTCTATCCTTCTCTCGCAGTGAATATAAGCCCGCTATTTATCGAACTAAATGTTCAGATCATTTTCTTATGTCTTCCCCTTGAAGTTATGTTGACAGTTCAATATCGACACATTTTTATTCGAATGCGTAATCTTTATATTTTCCTGTATATGTTCACTTGTGACCAATATTAATTAAATGCATGTTCGTTATCAGTACGAGAAATGAATTTCGTTGTTATTCACTATCAACTCAGAAAACTTTCCAATATAAACTAATAAGTCTTGATATAGTTAATATACATGCACATCGAATCGATATATCCTTAGTGTAAAAATAGAGGTTTATACCTAAATCGCACATGAAGACCTTTCATTCACCATTACAAATCCCCTTGACGTATTTTTCTTTATCATTCTGCACAAAATGCGAAAGTGCGATATCCAGTAACATTAAATATTTATTGCTTCTTTCGTTCTTTCTTCTCGTCTTTGATGTGATGTTCTGCGGACTAGCAGCGTGAAACGTAACTCTTAGGTTTGCATTGACTCATGTCAGCAAGAATACGAAAAAGTAGATCACCCATGCATTTTGCTGCATAAGTCAACACCACCCAAAGAATACTACATCATGCTGTTATCGCTATGTAAATTATATTAGTCATAAGAAGAAGAGACATAAAAAGAAATTTTATATTTGATTTCATCATGTGCAGAACAATCAAAGAAAATAAAGAGAAGATACTCTCAACGGTAGGTTTGAAGAATCTTGCTGCAATGTAGAAACAGCATAGAATAAGAAACGAAAACAAAAAGGCTTACGAAAGTGCAACCTATAAGAAACCTTTTTGAAGGGTATATCCAAGAGTATTTCATATACGTAAATCGTTAAAGGGTATATTATACATTGCACATTCATAAACTTCTTGAAAGGGCTTATGAGTCTGACATATCCATTTTTTTATTCATAGACTTCACACAACACTACAAAAATTAGGGCAAGAGAGAAAAAAGAACTGCGTATGTCCTGAAAGTGGATATGTTATGAGAATGAAGTCTTTTCAATTATATAGTCTCGAGCATGGTCAACGTAACTCTTTCTGATGAGTGGTAGTATAATCTACACTTAGGAGTGGAAAGAGATATGCTATGTGGTAAAACTTAGAACAATAAACCCTTTTTTGTGTTATAAAATTTTGCACAAACAATATATAACCTCGGGCACTTAAATAATTACTCGACTTCTGAATTTAATGATTTTCTGCTGTACCACTGCTACCATTTTATCTTCGTCTTATTTGTTTCATGTGCGAACTCGTTGAATATTTTCTTTCACATCCACGCGAATTAATGCTCAGTTTTCATTCATTTGTTCGTTCAGCTGCTTCTTCTCGTTACTACCAACAATCATTGTGGTTCGCTCTCGCATGCATCTTCATTGTTTGCCGGTACTTCTTCTTTGCTGGTGTTGGTTTGGATTGACCTCACCGCTATTGGCTGTTAACTTCTTCTGCTCCACTTCGGGTGTACCTCAAGTTCTCTTGTCGAATGGTCCAACCATTTCATCAAACACATCCTATCCGTCGACCATTGCAGCAGATGTGTTTTTTCAGACTCCATTCCAACTCACCTCTACCGTTCAGATCACTGCTCTTGTCATGTTTCCTCGACAGAATAACGGCCTTCTCACTGTCAGAGCCGCTCTCTATAATGCTGCATCTATGATCATCGCAGAAACGGCAACAATAACCGTCTCCGCAGTTGAATTCTCGGATGTGCAACCTAAGCCATGGACCTTACCATTCGATCAACCGGTCAATCTTACAGCTGGTATTAGCTACAGTGCCGCCTATTGGTATGCTGGTTCCAGTAACGGCGGTGTTGGTAATGCCAAGGTGTTCGTCACAAGCCCCGCTAATGCGACGTGGATTACTCCAGCTGCTAACTTTTCTACGGTGAATGGATCATTTCCTAGGCTTCTAGCCGCACCTTATACTTACGATATTGGTACTATTGCTCCATTCATTCAATTGATCGGCTTACCATGCACCAATACAGTCCGTGCTACCCCTATTCATCTCAACGAGACAATATTCTCCATATTACAAGAAATCCAACGTAAATATGTTCACGTGCCGGCCATTGGTGCCTCGATCATTCAAATGCCTTCATTGGAATCGTACACAGGCGCCCAATCATCCCCACATGTGATCTGTCCGTTCATTCCTGTGTCAACGGTGGTGTCTGGTGTTCGCCGTGCTGATGCAGTGACTCCAGAGATAGTAACAGTCAACGATAAATGGCATCTCGGATCAGAAACAAAATCAATGACGGCCATTCTCATTCATATGTTAATTCAAGCAGGAAAATTAAATCTTACCACCACTGTCGGTGAGGTCTTCCCTTATTTGCCATTTTCTTCAACTTCAACACCACCTTCAAATTCATGCACCTGCGTCGATCTCTCTAATGCTGTTGGTTATTTCGCTAAATCTCCCTATTCTTGTGGTTTGACCATTCATACCTCATGGAAATATGTGACTATTGCTCATTTATTGACTCACGCCTCGGGTCTTGGCGCGCTGGAAACAGTATTTAATGTGCTCACTGTTGAAGAATTAGCATTAGAAAGAAATGGCACCAAGGAATCTTGTAGCAACTATGTTTTGCCGTCACGTCGCTATCATATAAGTCTCTTATTATCGATGGCTATTCCCAGTCCACCACCATCGATTAATGTTCCTGTAGCCTACTCTTATTCGAACAATAATTTTATTTTATTAGGATTAATCTTAGAAGAAATCTGGTGCATACCATGGGAATCGATTATTCAACGCCAATTATTTGATCCTTTGGGAATGATTACAGCAGGATTTGGCTCACCAATTCAACAAGTACCGTTGAATTCATTCGCTACTCAACCATTGGGTCATTACATAGATGCAGCTGGTGTGATACATAGTATTGACTCTGATCTACCGAAGGTTTGGGCACCTGCGGGTACGGTTCACGCTAGCCTTAATGATTGGGCTAAATTCATTGCCTGTCATTTACAAGAAGCACGTGACCTAACGTCATTCGGCTTTGCTCCTGTGAATAGTAGTTTCCTCAATTCAGCGACCTCACCTTATTTACTCTCGGCATCGATGTGGCAAAGTATTCATACCGCATACGTTTTTCCCTCAGCATCTACTCCCAATTATCAATATTCACTCTCCGCAATGGGTATTAACAAGGATAGCCTTGGCCTATCTCTATTGCACACTGGCAGCAACACCATTTGGTACGCTTATGTTTTAGTTTATCCTCGATTAGTTCCGCCAATGGCTCTTTTAATCACAACCAATATCGGAAATGGTAATGCTGTTGTAGAAGCTAAGGCAGCTATTATAAATATTTATCTCACTTGGCAACAACAAGGACAGCCATCTGCAACGGACACCTCAGCAGCTCCGCCGCCTGCGTCACTTAGTTTCGGGCTCGCTCTCATTTTAACCTGCATTCACTTCATCCACTAGCCTGCACAAAATGAGTATAAAAAACATGTACTGATTCCCAAACGTTACAAATAACTTGTTTCTTCAATTGCAATCGTTTTCTGTCAACTAAACTATCAGAATTCGCGTCCGAAAATCATAAAGATATTCACAATATATATTAATTCAACAAGGAGAAAAAAAATATGTGAGATCTCGAGGATATGTGGTGGAGTATGGCTGTGGGTATGGGTGAGCTTACTTGGATGTAAGGTGTGACTGTGAATATGTGTGCGAATTGGTGCGATTATAGCTGTGATAGTGTAATTGTTGTGTTCTTTTTAGGTACAGCAACACTCAGATCTCACACCACGTCCACTCCACATGCCCTACAACTATACACCAGCAACCACATCCATATCTATAAGTATCTTTAATGAAGCGTCTGCGATTGGTTCGCTAGACAGATCAAGTTTTAATATCATTAATAGTAATACTATCGACTGAAAAACAGCGATAAAAAAAAGCCGAAAAGAATTCATTCTTACATTCATCAAGTAAACCTAATACAGCCAATACTGAAAATCGTGACGCTTTACCTACATATTGATTCATAAATATCTCCATATGGTGGCTCGACTATAAATAATAATCAATTAATAATGATCCTACGAATAGCATAATTTATTTAGCACACCAAGAGCTTATCGACTTATGATAGCACCGATTGCTTTTTCGTGTTGTTCATCTTGCTGATATCGATCAGCCAACATACCGAGACCTAGAGGGAATTGATATAAATTATCCAGTAGGTTTTTGCTTTGCCTGATACGCTTGAACAAGATGATCGAACTACTTCTATAACTCAAGCAATCAATAATAGGTCAAACGTTTTACTAAAAGCAAATACTAAACGAGAAAAAATATAGAAATAATAGCAAAACGTGAAAACATCGGAACGCTATTACCAATACTAAAATTAAAAAATTAAAAAAAGTTTTCATTATAAATATTTTCAGTCTTCTTTTACCGAACAAATGGATCTGTTAATAATTGAACAACAGTTTTTGCTGCAAACATTGTACTAACCTATAGATTTTCCATGAAGAAGATAATTATTTGTGGTTTTTCTTAGTTATTATAATCAATTCCACATTTTCTAAAATACATGTTCGTTCTTCATTTTAGATTTCAGTTCTATTTATTATCTAATCAAGACTCCAATTACAATACATTTGAAGCAAAAGAGGAAATCGCTAAGAAATAATGAAGCTAGTTAGGTTTACGCGATTAACTTTTCGGTGATTAGTTCGTAAAAGGAAATGAGTAGATAAGTAGTCATTGAGGATTCTTATATTATCAGGATGTATGAGTGCTGCTGTGGATGAATCCTCTCTCAGCCACCACTTGCATCGACAGACCTACACCCACACCCGCTCCTCCAACAACTCAAAAGACTAGCGCCATTGTTATAACAGCACTGACTTAATCTACCATTAATACTATGCATTACAACAGTCTGTTTGAAAGTATTGCAATATGTATAAATGATATTGGCGCATGTCGACCAAGTTACACTTCTAAAGGCATTCGGCCTTGTATCAAAGCTAATAGTAATGGTGATATTGTTTTTCTATTTAATCGAACATGTATCATTTTTAAATTGGATTTGGATCGTATTTAAGGAAATGCAAGACTCCATAAGTGATCTCAATAAAATATTAGCATGATAATGTATATCAATCTATGTATTCGTTTACAACCAGACATTCTGATCGTTTCACATGGTCCCAGAGATTGAAGACGATAGATTTTCTAGGATCTGTTGCACTCTGCGTAGTGTTTACGAATCTGAAAAAGAAAACTTTCTAAAATCAAACTTTTTTTGACTGATCATCTTTTGTCATGTACAAGTTTGGACAGAGCGATCTCTATGCAAACCTTCTTTTTAATGATGCACATCGCTCTTCAATCATCGAGTGTGACAAAAACCATACGTCACTCATTGTTATAAAGAATTATTTTGACACTTAAAATTTCGATGACACTCATGTTATTCTCATTGGATTCGAATGACGAGTAAAAAAAAGAACACAACCATTTGCCGTTAGTCTTTTATCTTTAGGTGGAAGATAACGATTGACGTCAGCTTTTCTTCGAACATATAAGAAGAGATGAATCCTTGTAAACTTCGTTTCTCTTCAATATTATTTTTACATATGTACACAAAACATTCAAATGAGTTCAGTAAATTTCCCCTAATCTTCTCTTCATGCACCTCAGTTAAATGCAGACTTCGGTTCACCATTATCATTGGATCATCATCGTCTCCTTACACAACTTTTCGATTAATAACGAACTATCAAACAAGCGGATGCTTCGTCTGCAACTAGAGAGTCATATGTGATTGCTGCGCAACTTGCTAAGAAGCGCTCGTCGCCTAGTACTAATCAACAGCTCAGTTCGCAACAATCAAACGAAAATCAACGTAAACTTTACAAGAAACAACCATGGGTACTTCTTTTGACCATTCTTATAACATTGGCTGCTGCTTTGATCCTTGTTATGTTGGCTGTCAATCACAAAGATTTTTGTGGGCAGCGTGGCAAAATAGACTGCTCTCAAGCCTTATTTTTGACGATTATGGAAAATGTGTTCTTATTAGGTGGTTTGTATGCTTTCACAGAAAGCTGTTCGGTGCTTCGTAAGTGATTACAAACAAAGGGATGGTGCTTTCAACGGAGGACTCATCCGCAGTCAACTCAATCTCAATGCTACGAATACATTGTTACTATGGTCAATAATCAATTACGTTATGATTTTTTTTGTAAATAGTTCATTACTCATTTGTGGTATCCTTGTGTATAAATTTTACTTTCTGTTCACTCTACAATGGTCAACTCTCAAAGTAGGAAAAAATCTGATGAAAAAAAAGAGAAGTTTATTGTAACAGTGTGGTAATCAAAAACAACATTTTAGATGAACAGACGTGTGTTTAAACCATCGATACTTCATCGAAGCATGTTCCATTGACAAGTTTTACATGAATGTTGATGAAAAAAAAACNTCTATATAAAAAAATTCGAGTTTTATGTTTTACTTTTTAATATTGAATCGATGAATAAATTTATCTTCACCAACGGATATTAAACAACATTGATCTTCATAAAATAATAAAATGATTTATTGCTTGGGTATGTGCTAAAAATATTGTTAAATGTTGACGATTAATAAGACTAAATAAGAAATGCAAATTATATATTTTATTTTATTTTTAATTATTTTAGTTTATAAAGAAATATTTTATTATCTATTACATAATCAAAAATAGTTAAATCACAAATAAATATGATTACACTAAAAGATCCTACAGATGTTATCTTTTTATAATCTCAATTTTATAAATAAATGTCAATAAATCAGCAATGTCAAAGATCCAAAAAATGTCCACTTTATGTAAAGTCCCATGAATATATGTAGAACTTTATATATCTCATGAAATGCCATATATATATATACATGTATCAGTAGCTAAAGGAAAAGCAAAATATGAGTAAGCTATCAGCGGATATTTCCTTTCTCCAGCGGACTTTTCTGCTCTGTGAAGAACTTTTTCTTTCACGTGAACTGATTCATTCACGTACAACACATATCAGACATCCAGTAATATAAATCAAAAGGACAAATCTATTATATTTATTTATTTATGTGTAAATAATAAACAAGAGGACATTTCTTTCTTTCAGCAGACTTTTCTTCTTCTGTAATTTTTTTCTTTTTAGATGATTTTATTCTTACATATGAATAGAAAATATATTTGAATAAGTTTAAGCCGAAAGGGGGAACACGTTATATATATATATGTGTGTGTATGTGTATATATGGAAGACAAAATCAGAATTTAGTAAAGACTGGTATGTATGTGTTCTTTATATGTAACTGAAATTATCTTTCAATATGTAGAGAAGAATTTTTTTTCATTAGTATTGTTGCTTAAATTTTATTTATAATAAATGATAAATATAAATAAAGTCCTCATTGAAGAAAAAAGATAAATAACTTCTTTATTGTCAAAAGTAAAAAAATATATAAAATAAAGAATCCTTTAGTCCTATGATAGACAGAGAGAAAAGTACCTGTATTACAGCAGGAAATGTTAATCAGTTTTCTTTCTTACTACGAATATCATTTTGGCATGTGATATTATTCAAAAACATTAGGGCGATATATGAAAAGCTACGTGGAAACCGTATTCTTTATATTTCATTTCCATCTAAGATATTATAACTTCTTTTGAGCTACCCGGTAAGAATCAAAGGTCGTATTCTCATAGACAAGGTTTTTTATTTATTATTTCATCTTTTTTTTTTATAAAAAGAAATGAATTCTTTATATTTAATATTTACATAATTCATCAAGTAAAGATAAGATAGAATCCCTATTCTTTAGTAATACTCCGATTTGAGTGTGTTTTGTAGTTTATTTGAAAAAAGCCATACATTTACAGATTGATTTTCTATTATCTAACAGTTATAAGCTTGTACATGTATTATATTCAATGGAAAATTTGTTTTTGGGTTCGCATTTTTGTGCACAAGTATGCGAACTTTGAATCAATGTTTTGACTTTACTAATTAAGAGATAACTTTTTCCTTTGTTTGGAATACAGATTTTAGTTTTCTTTTATGCTAATGAATTGGAGAGATAGATTGATAATGTAGATTTGAATGATTATTAAGTAATCTTTTATTTTCTGTAGGTTATAGTTTTTCAGTATTTTTAAACGTAGGGCATATGGAAAGATAATATTGATTTGACTAATCATGAGGTAATTTTCTATTATTTATAAGCTCAAATCACAATACATCTCAGAATTAAAGCGAAAGAACTATTTAAACAAGGACGTCCTCTACGGCACTCACCAGGACGCTCCGACATATACATAAGATACAGATTTTATGTATCGTACTTTTTTGTATGCGGAGACATTGAAACACTATATTGATAATTTCGGTTTCATTCATCAAGAAAAATTTTTTGAA